TGTGGGAAGCATCGTCAGCACTCGTGTGAATGAGATTGCAGCCACCTCAAAGCACTACTCTGAACTCCAGCAACAGATTTCTGTAAGTTTTTTTTGTGTTTAATTGTCTGTGCATGTTTTGAATGAATTCCCTGCATTGAAGGGAAGATAGATCTTAATCTTGTTGATCAATTTTAGCTGTTGCAATATTGTTCAATTTGTGAAATAGATCCATTCTTCTATAGTAAAATAATCAGACATAGACAACATAGTCACTGAAAAGTTTATTTGAGAATAAGAAAATCAGACAAGAAATGGTCTATGAACTTTCGTAAAAACTAATATTGAGTGTGTTAAGACTTTCCAAGTGAATCACTCATATGCCACTCTACATTCATAAATTTTTACTTATCCAAATTGACTGACCTTGTTGTTTTTAACTGCATTGATCCTTTGGATTTTTCTTTTACACTGTTATACAAAGGTAAATGTAAGTATTTGGTTTTAAATTGGTAAAGCATTTTTCTTTTTTTTCTTTCTTTTTTTGTTTTTTGTTTTGTTTTGTTTTGTTTTTTTATAAAAAGATTGCTGAGAGAGGTTACTTGTGTCAATAGAATCTGAGTTTTTTTTTATTTCTCTTTTTTCTTCTTCTTTTTTCTTCTTCTTATACATTGTGGAATTTTGTTATTAGGAGGAGATCCTAGGGGACAGTGCCTCTTCCCATGCCCGCTTGGTTGCAACTTTAGAGAAACAGCGCACGGCTTTATCCAAACAACTAGCAGAACAACAAAAGAAGGAAAAGGCTGAACACCAGAAAGTAGAGGAATTGAAGGCCAAATTGCAGGATGTGAAACGGACTAGAACAGGATTAGAACAAGAAATACAAGAGCTAGGCATAGTTGACACCAGGGAAAACAATAAGTATGATTTTTATTATTCTGTGTACCCCTTATATATTTAAGAGTGAGATTCAGATATCATATTTAATATTGGAAAGTATCAGTAAAATTCTGATTAATAATAAATTGTGGTGGAATGAGAAGACATGTATCATTTGTGTGGCTTTAACATATCAGTTGATTTATATATATTCACCAAAATTATAATTTAGGATCTACTCTGGAAAAGCTCTATATTTAACATTTCTTCCCATTTACATTTCATGTAGTTCTGTTTGCTCTAGATGATTTATACCATTTTTCCAGGCTATTGGAACACCTCTCAAAACTAGTAGCAGAGAATGAGGCAGTAAGGAAGAAAGAGGCTGAGTATAAGGATGGATGTCGGAAAGAGTCAGAGAAGTTGAAGAAGGAAATCAGGTTGGTTTAAACAAAGTTATTTTTAAAATTCTACATAGAAAGCCAATATTATGGATAATCAGTATGAGCAGGCATTTAGTTGTTTAGTAAACTTTCAAAAAGCATATTTGCTTCTAGTTAGCAATGTCATTCATAGTGACAGAATGTATTGTGTAAGCTTAGTGAAAAAATTGTGCATTATAAGCTTTGGAATAAAAAGCCTATATGCTTATGACTGATTTCAAGAACTGGTATATTTTATTCAGGGAATAGTACTTTAAATAGAGAAAAAAATAGCCTTTAATATTTCATCTCCTAAATTATAGGAAAAATTTGTTCATGATTGAGTAAAGATTGTCTTCCATTGTATGTATGTATATATCTATTTGTATATATGCTGTGCATATGTACATGTTTGTATATTTTAAACAATGTAAGATTATAAAATTATTTTTCGCTTCTAAGCTTAATTGTAGGTACCTTTGCTCTAGTAAGCAAATAATTCATGAAGTAAAATACTCATATCTTGTTCAAGAAGCTCATATTGGGAATAGATAAAACACAATATTTGCTAGCAAGTGAATATAAAAGAGATGAAATACACAGTAGTGATGTAAGATAAGCTCGTAAGTGAAGTTATTCATCCCAAGATTCCAATTAAACTTTTCAGTGATTTACAAACAAGATTAAAGGAAATTGATGTTGGAGATGAAATTACTGAAAGATACACAGCAGAAAAGGAAAAGTATTCCAAGATGAGACGACAGCTGGCTAAAAAGACAAGGCAGGTGGAGGCAATGAAACGCGTTATAGATGATGTTCCTGGCCGGGCAGAGCTGTCACAGTATCAGAGGCGCTTTATTGAACTCTACAATCAGGGTAAACTTTTCAGTATTGTCACACTGGTACATCTCTTCATGAAATCTTTTGTATATATCAACATTTATAGAGTATTTGCACAAACTGTGAGAAATACTATTACATATATTTGGTACACCTTTCAGCTGCATAATAATTTATTTTTTCTTCTTCTTTCATTTACACTGAATGTGAAGAATGTTAAATATGACTAATTTCATATGGGTAAACCTTAAATTCAATGAGAAATTAAATTTTCATTTAATTGTGCTTTCCAGTTGCTGCCACACACAGAGAGACTCAACAGTTCTACAATATGTACAACACCCTGGCAGACACAAAAACTTACATGGACAAGGAGCTCTCTCTTCTCAACTCAATATTAGATAACATGGCAATGTAAGTACTTTATGTTCCGTATTGCTGTAATTCCTGATTTTCTGGATTATGTAAGTGATATAGTTTTCATGAATCACCTTGCTAGGAATGATTTACAAAATCTTTGACCTGAGTATATATTATATAATGTTCAGCATTCTCCAGAATGGTTTTATGGAATTAACTAATTGTTATTTCTTCAATGCCAGTGCACTCAGTAATTCAGCCAATATGGATGAGTACCTTCAGCAACTAGATACAATAGTGGAGGGTATACATCAGAACAGATTAAAGGTGAGTACACTTTTTATGGCTTTGTATATATGCTTCTTTACTTCTTTTTTTTTAATCTGTTTTGTCCATGATACAAATTACTATTACCATATTACCATATATATTTTTGATTACTTGCCATTACTCTTATATGTATCAGAACTACTATTATTGATTCATAAAGGTTTTATGTACAAAATATAAATAAAATGTATTACATCCCAGCTCCAGAAAAGGCAAGCAGAGGAAAGGTCACATCGCAACACGCTGAGCGATGAATTAGCACGTCTCCAGGAGCTCAACCGTCATTATGCAAAAACAGTACATCAGCTTGGACAAGAAATAAAGAAAAATGAAATTCTACATCAAAAAGTTACCCAAAAGAAAGAGTAGAGGACATGTAGATCATTCTGTCCCCATTCCATCTTATTGAAAATATATAACCATGTTTGCAGTGCTCTACATGCACAAGATTTTCACTATGAAGAAATTTATTTGACTCATTAATATATTCTATACTGGATATGGGACAATGTTTTGGACTAAGCATACGTAGTTTGTATGCTTAGTGTATTTTCATATGTAATATCATGACATGATTTATTTGAAACAAAGCATATTTTGAGAGTGATATATCATTAAGGAGTTGAATTTTTATATTATTTTAAAATTTTGTGATTTTGCATTCCACAAATGTATATGGTGCCTTTGGTTTTGTGTCTGTTATAGGGTTTTAGAATGAACATTTTAATTTTTACTGTAATAAATAAAAATTAAAAAATCTCTTTATCATAGACCTGCAAGACAAAAATTAAGTGATGTTAGAAAATATGCATAGTAATTTCACAGAAGAATCTCTAAAACCCAAGACTTATGTATATATGTTTGTTGTGATTGTGATCTTATATAGTAATTTCATAGCTGTTTTTACAACAGCTCTATAGACACTCTTCAGATGCATATGACTGTATATGAAAACAACAATAATTTGTTACAGATACATATTTAAGCTTATGAGTGTGTATGTATATCTTGTATTATATGAAAGAGTATTTATGTATAAAATGCTAGAATATCTCTGAAAGAAAATATTTTTCAAAATGATATAGTATGTTTTACTTCTTGCGTAAACAGGTACTTTTAGAAGGCCCATTCTGTTTTGGATTGTAATTCTGTGAGTATTATCTAAACATGAGTAGTCATGCTAGTATAATTCACATACACTATAGTTCTTCTCAATTTCCAATAAATATGAGGTATTGTAAGCATACAATAGCACTATTCTAATCCTGATGACCTTAGTATGTGCAGCTCTTACAGAATTCTTTAGAAAACATAAAGAATTTTAATCCTTCATTTTAGTTCAGTTCTCATTCTACCAACAAACATTCATGACTGCATATTTGAAAGGAAATTGTTCAAAGTCCTTGATTTTTTATATTGTTCATAGCAAGTAGTAATATCAGATAAACATGATAATCATAACTATTACAAACCTAACTGAACCTTAAAATATAGTGACTGCAGTTTGTGGGGACAGCAGACACAAGTAGATTATCACAATTTAGCCCAAAATGATACTTCTATGATTGAACTTGTGAATTATTTATGTACAATTGTATTAGGGGCATCAGTATCTGTGAACACCCCAATCCCTTACTTATTGTTGTGAGGGGGATTTGGAGACAAAGACTGAGGCCCACTGTAAGGGATCAGCCCTACCTTGAACCTCAACCCTCTCCTCAAGTAATTTTGCATGGTCTTTTCTCCTCCCCCTTTCCTTATCCTTCTCTTCTTCCTTATCCTTCATGAGAGGAAGAAAGGCTTGCTTTGTGTCAGCCCTTAATGGCCTTCATACTTCATATGCTATTTCGTCTTTACCTTCTTCACTACCATGCTAACCTATAACACTCAACCTTTGACATCTAATATATTTTGTCCTAATCATGAACTCATTTTTAACCTTTTTTTGCCACAATATTTTATCATAGTGCTGTGTGACTTTTTTTTTTTTCTCTCTCTCTCTCTTCTCTCTCTCTCTCTCCTCTCTCTCTCTCTCTCTCTCTCTCTCTCTTCTCTCTCTCTCTCTCTCTCTCAATCTCAATCTCAATCTCTCTCAATCTCAATCTCAATCTCAATCACTCTCATCTCATCCACTCACTCACTCTCACTCTCACTCTCACTCTCACTCTCACTCTCACTCTCTCTCTCTCT